TATAAGTTCTGTATTTCCACTCTCCATAACTTAATAGATGTTCAGCTAAGGTTTATTAAATGACTGAATGGTACTATGCTAGACATTTAAGAGAAATTATCTTAAATATAAAGAACTATTTTTGAGGACATCATTTAGCTAATTGATATTTTTGTTTTAAAGGCAAATGTTTTCAGCAATTAACAGGGCAAAATTTGATTTTCAAAAACAAGGCGCACATCACCACCAGATACAGCACAACGAACTCTGCAAATCTCTATCTCTAAGGATACACAAGACAAACCACAACACACTCACATGTGCCTTCTTATTAAGTCTCAAGCAGACCCAACAGAGGAGACAGGATATTGGGATGATTTATCATTTGGCAATTTTTCAATTAAAACCACATAGGAATATCACCAGAAGAAAAATTGCAATTAAAAAAGTACAGCTGCACCATCTGTATGATATAAGGAAGGAGATGAGGTGCAGAAAGAGTTCTTTGGCTTTTCATAACAAACAGACTAATTAGTCTTTTATTTTGTGAAAGGAGAGTCCTCTGGGGCTGATCTTGAAGGATGCTGTAGAGACCAAGACAATTCGACTGTTGTGTCCAACAGTTAGAACTGTGAACTGATGATTTTGGATAATGATGTGCTTTGATTTTTTTCTCTTTACTTTTTGTGAATCTACTGTAGGTTTTCACATTTTTGTTGCCACAATGGCTCACATTAAACATCTTATAGACACAAGAGTCTATATTACACTGAAAACAAATTAATTTCAATCACATACAAAAGCTCTACCTTTTGATCTCCTCCTGTACTTTGTTTCTGATGTCAGAATTTGCCTCTCTTTATATTGTATATCACTAACAAAATATTTTTCTCTGTAGTTATTTTAATACTTCCCTTAGATTAGAGCTAACTAGTTGTTAGCACACTACCATATTCAGTATTAGAGAATTCTGTATTAGATTACATATTTACATTTACAAGTCTGTTGTCTGTTTTCACTTCTTTCATATAATAATTACCATCCTTCATTTAGCTTGAAGAACTCCCTCCGGCAATCTTGTAAGACAAACCTGTGTTGGTGAACTCCCTCAACTGTTGTTTGTTTGGGAAAGTCTTTATCTCATCTTCATTTCTGAAAGACAACCTTCCTGAGAAAAGTATTCTTGGCTGGCAGGTTTACTTTCATCATTTTTAATATATCATCCTTTTCTCTCCTGGCTGGCCAGTTTTCTTCTGAGAAATCCACCGATATTCTTAAGGGAATTCCTTTTTTGTGAGCATTTGCTTTTCTCTTGATGCTTCTAAAATTCTCTCTTTGTCTTGATTATAAACAAAGTGTCTTGGAGACGATCATTTTGAATGAACTCTGAGGGGCGACTTATCAGCAATGTTAGGTAGTTAGAATAGGAAAAAGCAGTCCAGAATGGCAGTGGCTAAAAGACAAGGAAGGGAAAAGTCCATGAAAATAGAACAAAGGAAGATCCGAGGACCAAAGTGAGCACCTCAGGTAGAACAAACAGCCCAGGGGGAGGAAAAAAAATAAATAAAAAGAGGAGCCAAGGGGCCAGGGTCTTTCTCTGGCTCTCTCTCTCTTGCTCTCTCTTCTTGCTTGCTCCCCCCCTCTCTCTCACTCTCTCTCTTCTCTTCATGTCTTTTGGGTCATCATGCCCTCACACATCGAGGATGTATTTTCCTTTATTTTCTAAATAAAACTGAGCTGCAACACAGAGCTGTGACACCGATCTGTCTGAGAGCTGTGACACGGTCTGTCTGAGAGCTGTGACACGGATCTGTCTGAGAGCTGTGACACGGTCTGTCTGAGAGCTGTGACACTGATCTGTCTGAGAGCTGTGATACTATCTGTCTGAGAGCTGTGACACGGTCTGTCTGAGAGCTGTGATACTATCTGTCTGAGAGCTGAGACACTGATCTGTCTGAGAGCTGTGACACAGTTTGTCCGAGGGCTTTAACACTGGCCCGCTGCTTCAAATTTTTGTTGTGAAAAAACAGAACCGAGGAAATTACACACTCCCCTGACAGCTACATGAACTTGGATGTCTAAATGTCATCAGATTTGAAACTTTTCTGGTATTATTTCTTTAAGTACAATCTCTGTCCCTTTCTCCCTCTCTTTTCCTTTTGGGACTTCAGTAATGTGCAGGTTGTTTCTGTGAATGTTATCCCACATTTCACACAGATTCTTTCACACCTTTTCATTCTTTTTTTCTCTTCTTTGTCCCCTGGCTAGGTAATTACAATTGTCTTGTCTTCTGCCTCAAATATTCTTCTGCTGTTGCTGATGCTCTCTGTAGCATTTTTTATTTTGTTGCATTTCATTCACTGTAATCTTAAGCAACAGAATTTCTATTTGGTCCCTACTCTTTTTCTCCCTATTGCACAGCTTGAAGGATCTCAGTTCCCTGATCAGAATAGAATTCATGCACATCAGTGAAAGCATCAAATCCTAATCACTAAACCATCAGCAAATTCCCTGTTTGCTTCCTTTTTTATGATTTTGGTCTCTGTACAAAAAAAAAAAAAACAAAACTGAATTTATTCTGCAGAGCAATGCAAGAGTCTGTGCCCAACAACTACTGAGTCCATGCTCTATGTCCCACAAACTGTAAATAGGAGCAGGCACGATGCAACTACTGAAGTCTTTGTGCTTAGAGCCTGTGCTCTGAAACAAGAGAAGCCCCTGCATAGAGAAGCCTGCTGTCCACAAAGATAAGTAGTGCCTGCTTGCCACAACTAAAGAAAGCCCACATGCATCAACAAAAAACCAGTGAAACCAAAAATTAAAAACAATAATGATAATGATAATAAATAACTTTTTAATCTTATTTTGTTCACATATTCTTTTCCTGAATGCCATTATCTGCATTTTTTTGAGTTCCCTGCTTCTTGGTGGGTATTCTTTATTTCTTTCATCATGTGTCATTTATTTCATCACTTCCCAATGGTGAATAGCCATGTAAGCTGCCCTGGGAGAAGTCCTGGGCACCTTCCCATCCCCAAGCACAGCCTAGAACTATGAAGACTGCAANCATCATGTGTCATTTATTTCATCACTTCCCAATGGTGAATAGCCATGTAAGCTGCCCTGGGAGAAGTCCTGGGCACCTTCCCATCCCCAAGCACAGCCTAGAACTATGAAGACTCCAAGCATGACTGTAGGTCAGAGGCCTGGACACCACGCAGAGCCATCAGCCAGGAACTGGGTGGGTTCAACTCACAACCAGGCCATCACTCTCAGGTCTTATATTAGTTCAGCAACCTCTCCACATGTCCACAATGAAATTTGAGGGGGAGGGGTGGTGTTGTGAAATGTAATCTTTACTTGGCCACTCCTACATGACAGCTCTCTCTACCCTGAAGAATCACAGCAGGATCACATTTACATTTTCAGTAGTAACCAGATTAAAGCAATCTTGAAACAGTACATCTTCAGAGGAGCCCATTGGTCTGAAATTCTTCCTTTAAGAATTCAATCATATCAGACCCCTCCATCCACATCTTTGAAAACTAAATAGACAAACATACCTGATTTTCCCATCTATCCCTTCTTCTGGATCCCCTCTGCCTAAGCCTCCACTTTCTTGCCCTCTTGTCCCACGTGGATGCAGGGTGTGGGTAAGCACCAATTTGCCATCCATTAACTCAGAGAGAGATATGAGCTGATATAATTTGCTCAGAAGGCTAGATAATTGAACAGACAAGAAATGGCAACGTTCTGAAGAAATAGTAGGCAGGGATGGAAAGAATGGATTCATAAGGGTTTGATAACAACTAGACATGGGAGAAGAGCAAGCAGGAATCTATATCTGCCTGAGGAATAAACAGATAAAGTAACCTAGGGAATGAGAGATGAAAAGGCAGAGGTAGTTTCCTAGAGTTAGAGTTTTAATTGACCCATGAACTCTTAAGCAGGATAAGGAAAACTGTATCCATTCTCTCCCACCAGCAAACTCCTACTTTGAAACTCACACCCAAGTCTGGTGCCCCAGAATAGGTTAAAAACAGGTGATGTGACATCTCAGGGAAGAACATACAGGAAAGTTCAAGATTGGGTTTTTACCATGAGTTTCTGAAATGAACATATCTCCTGCCATATCAATAAACAAGAAATGTAACAACCATCAGCGATTTCTGGCCTCCAAACATGAATGAGGGATCCCAAGACTATGATCCAGGGGATGCTCCCACTCCCCATGGTGATTGCTGAGGAGCTGGGGAAATGCAAGAAGCAGCCATCTGCCACTCCTTGAGGTGAACAAGGAAACAGTGTTGGCCCCAGATAGCTAAGCTGCATATGAAAGGAAAGAATTCAGTGAGACCAGAGGCTTGCATCTTCCCATACATAGCATGCTAAATTCCTTAACTTCATACCTGATTTTTTATGTTCAGACTTCCTGCTCCCTTTGTTGCAAACTTGTATACAGCCTGACTTCCCTTCCTGCCTCTTTGGAGCAATTTTCTCAGAACTACTGAGATGTTGTCTCCAGGGCTTAGAGTCCTAAGCATTCCCACCAAATAAAATAACTCTACCAGGTTCTGACTATATATTCTGGTCAACAATTCATCTTGCTAGGAAGGAGAGTGTGAATGTGGACCAAGTTTTAGGTGCTTTTTATTAGTAAGAATGACCTGGAGTATCTGTGTTCCTGGGCTAAGTCATGCCCTCATTAGCCTTGGAAGGAGGTGAGAAAACAGGGCAGTGCACTCATCTTGTATTTCCTTTGAGGAAAATGGTGTTTGAGAGCCAATCCTCTAAAAACATTTGACATGGAACTTGGTAATAATTAATAAAGCAAAAAAAATTTTTACTTTATTCAGAATATTTCATTTTGAGCAATTTCCATATAACACAATCACAGATCAGCACTATTCTATTGAGATACAGACAATTAGAATATCTGTGGCATAATCTTATATTTAATACAACATCATGGCAAAGTCACTGTGGATGTTCCCAGGGCACTTAATTCAGCATCATCGTACCCGGGGTCCCCAGTCTCCCCCTGGAGCAGCCAGGGCCTCTCTTCTCCTTCCCCAGGATCAGCTTCCTCTCTAGAGACATTTAGAGAAGAGCCTGAAAGAGGAAAGAGAGGTATGATTTAGAACAGAGACAAGGGGGCCAGACAGTGAGGAGGAAGCAAGTTAAGCAAGTGGTGATGACAAAGCATCCCTGGGACCCAGGGGTGGGCAGGGAGGCTCAGACTATTTCATATCAGTTACAGTGAGGATGGATCCCAGCTGTCCTCTTAAATCCAGTCCATGTACTCTCTGGGGCCTCAGCTCATGTGGAAACCCTGCATCACAGGAGACCTGTGCTCACACAGGAGCTCTGAGAAGACCTGCCTCCAGGCAGTGAAGGACTAGGTATTCAGCTGTGTCTGACTCTTAGCAACCCTATGAACTATAGCCCGCCAGGCTCCTCTATCCATAGGATTCTCCAGGCAAGAACACTGGTGAGGATAGCCATTCCCTTCTCCAGGAGATCTTCCTGATCCAGGGATCAAACCCAGGTCTCCTGCATTGCAGGCAGATTCTTTACCATCTGAGCCACCAGGGAAGCCCATCAAATGCATGCAATTACCCATGCATGAGATTCTCAAATGCATGAGAAACTGTACAGAGGCTGGACATTGAGCTCAAATTCACCCTTTCCAGGACAGAGACCAAAGATTACAGGGGATCAGCTAACTCCACTCACCTGTCTGAGACGTCATCCCATCTTCCTTCTTTGGGAGCACTTCCTCCTCACTCCCCTGAGAGGCAGGAGGAGCCCCAGGTACTGGTACCTCTTCAGCATCATCATAATCCTCACCAAGGGCATAGGTCTTCTGATCTGGGGCTTCTGAGTGCAGAGCAGGGGTCAGATGAAACCACACTAAGTGGGTTGGTCTGGGAAATACCTAAGATCCCTTCTGAACCAGCATTTCTGAGCTGCTAAATAGAGGCACCTGTCACTCCTTGTTTTAAAAGATTTTTTCCTATAAGACCATGTTTCAATTTGATGTGTCCATAAACCAAAACATGACCTTACATATCTTAATATTTCCTGATTGAAAACATATATCTCAAAGCAACTCTCCCACCACTGAGCATTACTAAAGTATTTTGACAAACTGTGCTTTATAGATGTTATTTTTAAAGCCGGTGTGTGTCTCTTGTGATTCTGAACACAGAGAGCCCAGTCCCAAATGTGAGACATCACAGAACAGCCAGAGAAGGAGAAGGACAGACCCTATCTAGACACAAGGGATCCCTCTGGTCCATCAAAGGAAGACTGTTCCCCTTACATCTCCTCTCTATGAGGAGGGAAACTCTCCTCCACAACACTCAGCTGAATCAGGTCCACCTCTATTACCTGGAGCGGATCTGGAGTCATTGTTGTCCTCACCATCTGACAGGAAGCCTAAAGTGGAGAAAAACATCACACAACACACAGAATGACCCTCCCACACCCACGGGACCAATCTTAAAGCTGAGAAGGGATGGGTCTGGCTCTTGCAGTGTAGACAGAGGCTAGGGGCTCACAGGGCTGTGAGAGGCCATCCTGCCACTTTGGAGAGCCGCCTCTGTGAACCTGGGGAATGTGTCGGGTCTGCAGATGCTGAGAAAATGTGCACACCCAGTGGGTGTGACAACCAGAGGTCCCAGAAGGGCAGACAGAGACACCCACCTGGGCTACCCAGAACACCCTCCTTCTGAGTCACAAGGTAATCGAGCTCCTCATACACAGCTTCAGCAAAAGCATCTTCATAGCTGGATAAGGCTGAGAGATCCCCCAGCAGGTCAGAGGTGCCACCCCAGACACACCAGTCCAACCGGCCCACTTTCATCTCCCCGATGCTCACACGGAGGCTGCCTGGACCTTGGCATCATCTCCCACCCCTTGGACCGTGTCAGCACCTTCTCCCCTCATCTGACCTGAATCCACAGGTCAGCCCCAATTCTGTCTGGTCTCATAGGAGAGGCTATGACTTATTAGAGTTCACGCCCCAGTCCTAAGAACCTCTGTCTACTCAGCCCTTAGAGCTCAGCATGGAGCACATGGAGTCTGAAACTCAGAACAGAGACCTGGCCCAGGCTCCCCTCCTCACACCTGCCCCATCTCCTGCCTGCACACACTCTCCCTGGTCCCCAGGTCCCCCTGCAGCCCACCTCTGCGCTCTGCTCTCCATCTGAGCACCTGAGTCACCAGGATGATGAGGACCAGGAAGAGAAGGGCCCCCAGGATGAGGCAGAGGACCCCAGGCAGGGAGAAGATGCCAGGGAGAGGACTTGAAACTGGTCTGGACCCTAAAGAGAACATTCAGGCAACAGGGTGTGGAGAAGGTCCTGGGCACAGAGAAACCCCCTGTGCCAGCATTTACAGGGGCTCCAGACGATGGCGTTCAGCCTCAGACACAAGTGCACTGACAGTGACCTGGCTCCCCCAGGTCTCATCTTGAGATGAGTCAACTCCACTCCGGCCAGTGTGGCCTCGAGGCAGAGCCAGGGGTTGTCAGGGAGCTGCCTGCCGGGACAGCCTCTGAGGACCCGGCTCATCTCTTCTCCTTGGGCTTCAGGAGACAGAGCGTCCAACAGTCCTGGGACCCGCACCTCACTGATGAGGAGCAACACTCAGGGCAGGTGGGAGAACCTTAGATTCTGCAACACAGGAACCCATCTCCCTAGTATCCCAGTCGTGAGAAAAATGTGGCCCCAGCAACCAAGGCAGAGGAGTTCCCCAACATGTCGCCCTGGGCTCCTCCCCACCAGCCAGGGCTCCTCAGGCTCTTTCCTCTCCTGAGCTGTCAGAGGGCCCACAGAACAGGCCCCCAGACCTGAGTATTCTCTCCTGCCCGTGGGTGTTCACAGTACCTGCTGCAGTCGGGGGCACTGTTTTCCTTACACCTAAAGAGAAAAACAGCAGTGTGAGGAAAGGGAATTGGCCAGGATGCAGGGCAAAGCCATTTTTCTCTCCTGAGCCTGAACTCACCCCCCAGTCTCCACAACATCAGTGTCCAGTCCTCCCAGCTCCCCCGTCCTAGAACAGAGCCCCAGCCCTGGGACAATGTCTGAACACAAACTCCCCACCAGGCCTGGCCCAGCCCACTGCCGCTGCACTGCCCCATCTCACGCAGGGCGGACTCGCACCCCTCACTCACCAGGGGGGACCCGTGCCCCTCACTCACCAGGGCGGACCCTCGCCCCTCACTCACCAGGGCGGACCCGCGCCCCTCACTCACCAAAAAGGCAGCAGCCCCTCCTGTGACTCCCCTGGTGGGAGGAAGGAGCCCCTGCGGCCCTGGGGAGGGGGCGGGGCTGACGTACCTGTGCAGGGGGCAGCAGCTGGGCAGCTCTTGGGTCTTCTTCCTGCAAACAACAGGGAAACAGTGGATCAGGAACAGCTGGGCGTGGTCTTGTCCCCAAAAAAGATTATCTAAGGTCTGACTCAGTGCAAAGCACACATGAAAACACAGGCTTACTATCTCCTGGGCTGAAACTCACTGCATCTGATCACCAGCTGAAATTACTTTAAATATTTACTTGTTTATCAGTCTTCACATTCCCACAGCAAATATAAACACAGACATCTACAAATGTACACACACACACCCCTCTGAATGAAAGTTCCATTAGAAGAAGGACCTTGTATATCTTATATATGCCATGTTTCTGCTGTTAGGACAGTGCCTGCACATTGTAGGCACTCATTCACCAAATATCTACAGAAAACCTTTGCTAAATACCTAGATAGGGGCTTGATAAATATTTATTGAACGAATGAATAGATGAATAAAATTCAGTAAAATAAAACTTTAAATTCACACTAATCAGTGAAATTGTAAACCAAATATAAATGAATGGAAATAGTCTATGATAATAGCTCATATTAAAATAATCAGCCCAGAAGAACAGAGTTAATTTATATTCAAAATCTCACATACATAATTTTAATGGAAAATTATTAGATAGATTATAAGCTACTCTAACCTACTATTCAGGGTAACAAGTGGGCAAGTAAAGACTACTGTTGTAAAAGGAAACTCTTTTTAAAATTTATTTTAATTGGAAGATAATTGATCTACAATGCAGTGTTGGTTATGTGTGTGTGTGTTAGTTACTCAGTCGTGTCTGACTGTTTGTGACCTATGGAACGCAGCCCACCAGGCTACACTGTCCATAGGATTTTCCAGGCGAGAATACTGGAGTAGATTGCTATTCCTTTCTCCGCTGGATCTCCCCTACCCAAGAATCGAACTCAGGTCTCCTGCACTGCAGGCAGTTTCTTTGCTGTCTGAGCCACCAGAAAAGCCCATAGTATTGGTTAGGAATCTCTTAAAAAGGAAATATACAGGAAAGACTTAGTAGAATTCTAAGAAGATATATGTACACACGTATGTACACAGAGTAAGGCAAAAATTTTGCAATAGATTAAAAGTACACCTACTGAGAAAAATTTGTATTGAGAAGATGCAGAAATAACAAACAAAAGACTAAAAAGTATATATAAAAGAATTGAAGCTGAGAGAAATCAATACAAATTCAAAGCAACACAAAAAACCAGAAGGGTAAATAGTACCTGTCATAAAGTATCAAAATTTGTATATTCTTTCCAGATCATCCTATCAAACCTCCTACCCACTCTACGCAGAGAACCTCTGAGAAAATGATGGTGGGACCTTTGTGAGGGTGTTGCTCATTTTCATGGTCAAAGACTTTACCACCTCTCAATTCTCAGTGTTTAATTGTAGGAAAAAATATCATCAATAAAAGATCTAATAGTTTAATGCCTCTTTGGCTTTCAAATGGAAAAGACAAAGAGAAGAAAAAGAGAGGCAAGGAAGGGAGTGAGCTTCTGCTTTTGAAGTATCTGTCCCCACATTCTCTTAGCTATGGGTTTCAGGGAACATCCAGCAATATTCAGGCAACATTCAAGGTGTACCTGAATAGGGTGTGTGTGTTAGACTATATGGAGGGGGAGGGAAGGAGAGAGAGAAACAGAGAGATGTGTTGAAGGAAGTAAGGAGCTATGGTTTGACTATTTGTTGCCCTCCCCAACACTTATTTACTTCATTCAACATTTATTTTCAAAATCCCAATTCCCAATGTAACAGTATTTAGTGGTGGAGCCTTCTCAAACTGTTCCAAAAACAGAAGAAAGAAACACTTCCAAACTCATTTTATGAGGCCAACATTATTCTGATACCAAAATGAGATAAGGACACCACAAGAAAAGAAAATTACGGGCTAATACTCTGATAAATATAGGTGCAAGAATCCTCAACAAAATACTAGAAAACTGAATTTGACAACACACTAAAAGAATCATACACCATAATCAAGTGATGTTTGTTCCAAGGATACAAGGATAGTTCAACATTCACAAACTAATCAATGTGATACACCAAATAAGCAAATTGAAGGTAAAAATCCTATTTTTATATTTGTTCAGTTGCTAGGTTGTGTCTGACTCTTTGCAACCCCATGGACTGCAGCATGCCAGGCTCCTCTGTCCTTCACTATCTCCCAAAGTTTGCTCAAATTCATGTCCACTGAATTGGTGATGCTATCTAACTATCTCATCCTCTGTGGCCCCGCTTCTCCTTTTGCCTTCAGTCTTTCTCAGCATCAGGGTATTTTCCAACAAGTCAGCTCTTCTCATCAGGTGGCCGAAGTATTGGAGCTTCAGCTTCAGCATCAGTCCTTCCAATGAATATTCCAAGTTGATTTCCTTTAGGATAGACTGGTTAGATCTCCTTGCTGCCCAAGAGACTCTCAATTTAATTGTGGCATCCAAGCACAATTCAAAAGTATCAACTCTTGGGCACTCAGCTCCTTTATAATCAAACTCTCACATCCATACATGACTAGTGAAATAAACATCATTTTGACTATATGGGCCTTTGTCTGCAAAGTGATGTCTCTGCTTCTTAATACTCTGTCTAGGTGTGTCATAGCTTTCCTTCCAAGGAGCAAGCCTCTTTTAATCTCACGGCTGCGGTCACCATTGGCAGTGACTTTGGAGCCCAAGAAAAGAAAATCTGTTTCCACTTTCTCCCTTTTTATTTGCCATGAAGTGATGGGGCCAGATGCCATGATCTTAATTTTTAGAATGTTGAGTGTTGAGCTTTAAACCAGCTTTTTCACTCTCCTCTTTCACCCTCAACAAGAAACTCTTTAGTTCCTCTTCTCTTTCTGCCAATAAAGTGGTATCATCTGCGTATCTGAGGTTGTTGATATCTCTCACAGCAATCTTGATTTCAGCTTGTGATTCATTCAGCCTGCCAGTTCCCATGATGTACTCTACATATAAGTTAAATAAACAGGGTGACAATATACAGCCTTGACGAATTCCTTTCCCAGTTTTGAACCAGTCAGTTGTTTATGTCCAGTTCCAACTGTTGCTTCTTGACCTGCATACAGGTTTCTCAGGAGGCAGGTAAGGTGCTCTGGTATACTCCTCCCCTTAAGAATTTTCCACAGTTCATTGTGATCCACATAGTCAAGGGTTTCAGCTAGTCAATGAAGCAGACGTTTTCCTGGAATTCTCTGGCTTACTCTATGATTCAGCAAATGTTGGCAATTTGATCTCTGGTTTCTCTGCCTTTTCTAAACCCAGCTTGTACATCTTGGAAGTTCTCAATTCACTTATTGCTGAAGCCTAGCTTGAAAGACTTTGAGCATAACCTTTCTAGCATGTGAAATGAACACAATTGTGCAATAGTTTGAACATTCATTGGCATTGCCTTTCTTCAGGATTGGAATGAAAACTGACCTTCTCCAGTCCTGTGGCCACTGATGAATTTTCCAAATTTGCTGATATATTGACTGCAGCGTTTTAACAGCATTACTTTTTAGTATTTTATAGCAATATATACAAGAGCCAAACAAGGTAAGTCTTCACTGATGGATGAATGGATAAAGAAAATGCAATATAGACATATATCCACCCACAAAAAAGAAGAAAATTTTGCCAGTTTCAACAAGGATGGACCTTCAGGGCATTATGCTAAGTGAAACAAATCAGACAGAGAAAGAAAAATACCATAAAATCTCATTTATATGAGTAATCTTAAAACAAAAAGCAAGTTCAGAGATGCTGAGTCATTGGTGGCTGCCAGAGATGGGGGACTTGGTGTGGGCAAATGTAGTCAAAAGGTATAAACTTGAGTTATAAAATTAATAGGTGAAGAGATATAACATACAGCATGGTGACTATAGTGAATACCATACTGTCTATTTGAAAGATGATGAGAAAATACATCTTAAACATCCTCATCATATAAGAAAAATATTTAACTATATATATGGTTATGGATATAACTAGACTTACTGTGGTGATCATTTATCAATATACACAAATATATAAGCATTATGTTGTACACAGCAAGCAATATAATGTTATGTCAATTATATCAATTAAAAACTTTTAGTAAAGCAAGTTTGGAACATGTGGATTAAATTAGCTCCATCCAAACTTCATTTTATAAACTCAACTTAAATGCATCACTTAGATTTTAAAAGACCAAATCTCACTAATAACACCCTACAGGGTTGGGACAGACACAGAAGCAGACATGAGTCACCTGCACATGAGATGTAGGCTTCCTCCTTTGGAGAGCATGAACTGTATTTCCATGGGCCAGAAGGACACTGCCAGAGAGAGGTATCAGTTTTCCGACATTGGATTAAATCTACCCACCGGGGTCTAGAACCTTCCCTGAGACCAACAGAAGTGTTGAGACTTCCACTGTCCCCACAGCCAAGCTGACTGCAGATGATGGACACGGTGATGTCGTCCATGGGGCTGCGGCAGACACTGCCCCAGGTCCCGTTGTAGAAAACTTCCAGCCACCCAGCACACTCCTGGTCCTCGCTGACCATCCTGAGGGCCAGGAACTCTAAGATAAAAATGGAAAAGACAGGACACAGTGAGCACTGCACTCAGTGCTCCGAGTTTTCCTCTCTCCCCAAATTTGTGAACACACATCTGTGACCCAGCTGAGGAAGCAAATCCATTAGATAACCAGAGTGAAACCTGTCTCCTTTTTATCTGACTTTGTCCATCTGTGTCTGTCTTTCTAAATATTTCTACCACCATGATGTAGTGTACATGAACTGGGAGGAAGACCAGCCTGGACACCTGCAGGGAGAGGGAGCTGACTCCTGCTTCCTGACAAAACATCTAAAAGAGTGTATAAAGGGATGTGATGTGGACAATGTGGAGGCAGATAGAAAATGGACCTGTGACTGTTTCCTTATCTGGCAAAGGGGACTTTACAGATGTGATTCAGGTAAGGACCTTGAGATTAACCTGAAATATGGTGGATTAACCAGATGAGCACAGTCTAATCACATTCTTAGACTCACTATCCTTTACAATGGAATACTTTTCTTCATTCTGGCTAGAGGGAGATGTGAATATGTATAACGGTTAGAGAGGTGGAGCATTGCTGGTCTGATGATGAACAGAAGGGGGTTATGAAAAAAGGCAGGCAGGCAGTTTTTAGAAGCTTGAAAAGACAAGAAACAGATTCCTTCCCAGAGACTAGAATTGATCTGACCCTACTGAAACCTTGAACCCGTCCAGTGAGATTCCTGCTGGACATCTAAGCTACAGAAGTGTAAGGAAACAAATGTGTTGTTTTAAACCATTAACTATGCGGTAATTTGTTACAAAACAAAAAAACTAGCACCTTGGCTTTAAGACTTCTCTACCATATGTACCAGAAGAGTGAGCCCTGATTTCAAGGAAAACTGAGAAAACCTTCTGCCAGGAAACACTACTGAGAAGAAAGGACCAGAATTTCAGCTGCTGCAGGAGGAAGTGAAAGCACCTCGTCTTCATGTCTGCTGGAAACACAGCCTCCATGGGGGGAAGCCTCCTTCTCAGGTCCTTTCAGCATCTCTCCCTCAGGGTTCAGACTCCCGTCCTCCAGGGCCCCACCCTTCCCCTAGCCTGTGGACAGTGTTGAGTGCTGACCTGAGCAGATGACCCCCGCGTCCTCCTTGTGTCTGCAGTAGTGCCGCCCCCAGCCCCGGGAAGGGCACCTCCACACGTGGGACTCATTTCCAGAGCAGTTCAGGTCGTCCAGCCAGATGGGCCCTGACCCTGCCCCGAAGTGAGCAGACCCCGTGGCATTGAGGGCTTCTCCACAGCCCAGCTGCCTGCACACCACGTGGGCATCGTCCAAGTCCCAGCCGTCATCACAGATGGTGCCCCAGGAGCCCTGGTCCAGGATCTCCACTCTCCCGGCGCAGGGACCACCCCCGTCCACCAGGCGGAGCTGTCTGCTGTCTGACGAGAGAGAAATGGGACAATGGGGCGTTGACCTGGGGGATGAGAATGGTCTTCTGTCTTGTGGGACCCTCACCTGAGCAGTAGGGGACGCTCTCCTCTGAGGCTGCAGACCCTGCTGGTTCAGACACGGAGTCATTGCACTGGGGCAGCACCTGGGTCTGGTTTCCTAAAGAAACAGGGATGATTAGAGTGTTGGTTGAAGATCAGGAAACTCAGTTAAGCTAAATAATTTTTAGGAGAGGAGGGGAGTTTGGGGGGAAATGGATACATGTATATGTATGGCTGAGTCCCTGGCTATTCACCTGAAACTATAACAACATTGTTAATCAGCTAAACCCAATACAAAGTAAAAAGTTCAAAAAAAAAAAAAAACAATAATAATAATGACCTAGTGATGGAGCTGAGATGAAAGCTGTAACATACCAGTAAAGTTACCATAATCTTAGTGTTCCCTTTCTCTATGAACAGCCCTGGTCCTGACAATACCATGATTCCTGTTTTAAGCCAAGCTTTGCCCTAAGAATGATTTCAATAAGTTGCTCTATCCTTAATCTACCCCTAAATAGAAGAAGCAAAACAAAATCCTTTCTGAAGGATTTGTACAATTTTTTATCTACAGTGTTTGTGATTTTAAAAATACTTATATATAAGAGATCTCATGGAAAACAAGAGGGAAAAGAAACATTAAAAAAATTTCCCAGGGTATTTGGCTCTTAGAGTTACCTGACAGAGAATTTATTTTATTTATTTTTATTAATTTTTATTTGAGCATAATTGCTTTATAGTCTTGTGGTAGCTTCTGCTGTACAGCAAATTTAATAAGTTATATATACATGTATGGGTTTCCTAGGTGACTCGGTGGTAAAAAATCTGCCTGCCAAATAGGAGACTGGGCTTCCATCCCTGGTTGGGAAGACCCTCTGGGGAAAGAAATAGCAACCCACTCCAGTATTCTTACCTGGGAAATCCTATGGACAAAGGAGTGTGGCAGGCTACAGTCCATGGGGTCACAAAAGAGTCAGAAGCAACTCAGCGACCAAAAAACAACAACAACACGTATATATATCTCCCCTCTTTCTTAGATTTACTTCCTACTTAGGTCACCACAGAGCACTGAGTAGAGTTCCATGTGCTATACAATAGGTTATTATTTATCTATTGTATGTGCTCAGTTCACTTGCTCAGTCCTGTCCAACTCTTTGCGACCCCATGAACCACAGCAGGCCAGGCCTCCCTGTCCATCACCAACTCCCAGAGTCCACCCAAACCCATGCCCATCGAGTCGATGATGCCATCCAACCATCTCATCCTCTGTCGTCCCCTCCTCCTCCTGCCTTCAATCTGTCCCAGCATTAGGGTCTTTTCCAATGAGTCACCTCTTCGCATCAGGTGGCCAAAGTATTGGCATTTCAGCTTCAACATCAGTCTTTCCAATGAACATCCAGGACTGATCTCCTTTAGGATGGGCTGGTTGGATCTCCTTGCAGTCCAAGGGACTCTCAAGAGTCTTCTCCAACCCTCACAGTTCAAAAGCATCAATTCTTCAGTGCTCAGCTTTCTTTATAGTCCAACTCTCACATCCATACATGACCACTGGAAAAACCATAGCCTTGACTAGAAGGACATTTGTTGGCAAAGTTTATCTGTGCGTGTATGCCAAGTCACTTCAATCATGTCTGACTCTGTGACACTATGGATTGTAGCCCATCAGGCTCCATGTCTACGGGATTCTCCAGGCAATATCTATTTTATACTTAGTATCAATATTGCAGGGCTTCTGAGTCTGATGACTCAGGCAGTAATGAATCTGCCTGCAATGTGAGAGACCTGGGTTTGATCCTTGGGTTGGGAGGATCCCCTGGAGGAGGGTATGGCAACCCACTCCACAATTCTTTCCTGGAGAATCCCCATGGACAGAGGAGCCTGGCAGGCTACAGTCCATGGGGTTGCAAAGAGTTGGTTATGACTCACCAGCTAAGTGCACAGCACAGCACATCAATAGTATATATATGTCAATCTCAATGTCCCAGTTCATCCCACTCTTCATTTCCCCTCTTAGTATCCTTATGATGTTCTCTATTTTGCAGTAAGTTCATCTCTACCATTTTTCTAGATTTCATATATAAGTGATGTTACAGTATTTGTTTTTCTTTTTGTGATTTATTTCATTCTACATAACAATCCTATTTCAAATCCTAAAAGATGATGCTCTGAACCTGCTGCACTCAATATGCCAGCAAATTTGGAAAACTCAGCAGTGGCCACAGAACTGGAAAAGGTCAGTTTTCATTCCAATCCCAAAGAAGGACAATGCCAAAGAATGCTTAAACTACTATACAACTGCACTCATCTCACACACTAGCAAAGTAATCCTCAAAATTCTCCAAGCCAGGCTTCAACAACATGTGAACCATGAATTCCCAGATGTTCAAGCTGGTTTTAGAAAAGGCAGAGGAACAAGAGATCAAATTGCCAACATCCACTGGATCATCAAAAGAGCAAGAGAGTTCCATAAAAAAACATCTATTTCTGCTTTGTTGGCTATGCCAAAGACTTTGACTGTGTGCATTACAATAAACTGTGGAAAATTCTAAAAGAGATGGGAATACCAGACCACCTGACCTGCCTCTTGAGAAATCTGTGTGCAGGTCAGGAAGCAACAGTTAGAACTGGACATGGAACAACAGCCTGGTTCCAAACAGGAAAAGGAGTACGTCAAGGCTGTATATTTTCACCCTGCTTATCTAACTTATATGCAGAGTACATCATGAGAAGTGCCGGGATGGATGCAGCACAAGCTGGAACCAAGAGTGCTGGGAGAAATATCAGTAACCTCAGATATGCAGATGACACCACCCTTATGGAAGAAAGTGAAAAAGAACTAAAGAGCCGCTTGATGAAAGTGAAAGAGGAGAGTGAGAAAGTTGGCTTAAAGCTCAACACTCAGAAAACAAAGATCATGGCATCCGGTCCCATCATTTCATGGCAAAGAGATGGGGAAACAGTGGAAACAGTGGCTGACTTTAATTTTTTGAGCCCCAAAATCACTGTAGATGTTGACTGCAGCCATGAAATTAAAAGACGCTTACTCCTTGGAAGAAAAGTTATGAACAACCTAGATAGCATATTAAAAAGCAGAGACATTACTTTGCCAACAAAGGTCTATCTAGTCAAGGCTGTGGTTTTTCCAGTAGTCATGTATGGATGTGAGAGTTGGACTATAAAGAAAACTGAGCATCAAAGAATTGATGCTTTTGAACTGTGGGGGTTGGAGAAGACTCTTGAGAGTCCCTTGAACTGCAAGGAGATCCAACCAGTCCATCCTAAAGGAGATCAGTCCTGGGTGTTCATTGGAAGGACTGATGCTGAAGCTGAAACTCCAGTACTTTGGCCACCTCATGCGAAGAGTTGACTCATTGGAAAAGACCCTGATGCTGGGAGGGATTGGGGGCAGGAGGAGAAGGGGACGACAGAGGATGAGATGGCTGGATGGCATCGCCAACTCGATGGGCATGAGTTTGAGTAAACTCCGGGAGTTGGTGATGGACAGGGGGGCCTGGTGTGCTGCGGTTCATGGGGTCACAAAGAGTCGGACATGACTGAACGACTGAACTGAATATTTAGTGATGTTGAACATCTTTTCATGTATTTGTTAGCCATCTGTATGTCTGGAGAAATGTCTGCTTAGGTCTTTTTCCCATTTTTTAATTGGGTTTTTTGGTTTGTTGATATTGAGTTGTTTGTGCATTTTCAAGATTAGTCGCTTGTTAGTTGCTTCATTTTAGTGGCAAATATTTTCTCCCATTCTGACAGTTGTCTTTTTGTTCTGTTCATGGTTTCCTTTGCTATGCAAAAGCTTTTAAGTTTAACTGGGTCCTCTTTGTTTATTTTTGTTTTTATTTTCTTTACTCTATAAAGTTGGTCAAAAAAGATCTTGTTGCAATTTATGTCAAAGAATCTTCTGCCTATGTTTTCCTCTAAGAGTTTTATAGTCTGACAGAGTATTTAAATAGCCATGATTAAAGTCCTCCAAGAATTAATTAACAAGATGTGTGTCTTGGCAGAGAAATGATAACAAAAGCAAATGAAAATTCAACAGCTGAAAAAGTTGACAGCTGAAATTAAGAACTAGAGAATGAGTCTATCAGCACTTTAGATCAATATAAAGTAGAAATAGTAAAATGGAGATGAGAGGAGAAGTGTTCCTCTATATAGAAAAGCTAATCACATGGTAAGTGCCTGGTTAACAATACTGTAAAACAAAGTTTCCCCCCACACTTAGCAGTTGAAGAATTTTTTTTTTTAATTTTAATCATGATGTTCTGGTCAGTAATTTGGGAAAGACTTAACTTGGCAGTTCTATCTTTGGAGTTTCTCATGTGGTTGCACTTAGATTTTATCTGGGGCTGATATCTCTAAAGGTTTGATTGAACTGTGATTATGTAAGGAAATTCCCTGAAGTATTTTTGTTGTTGTTGTTGGGGAAGGGGAGGGATAAAGGAGCATCCTGTCTGCAACTTAATCCAGAAAGATTTTACATGCTCAGGGGGAAAATGGGGCAGGAGGGAAACAAAGGAGGAGAGAGAGGGAAAGCTAGAGCAAGACAGAGAAAGAGAGAGAAAACTAGAGTGGGTGGGGGGAGGAAAGAAAGAAAGAAGGATTAAAGCAAAATACTAACCTAACATTTGGGGAATCCAGATAAAGTTCAGAGACAATTCATTCCTAGAAAACCTTCACTAAAGGAAATACTAGTAACATCAAACCCATAAAATGCCTAGGAGAAAACCTAGGTAAAGATGTGCAAAACATCTGAGAGAAATTCAAGACCTAACTGAATGAAAGGATATATTTTGCCAATGAATTGGGAAACTCAGTGTTGTCAAAATAAATCATTCTCAAATTTATATACAGATTAAAGCTAACCTCAATAAAATTCCCTGATGCTTTTGTGTGTGTGAAACATGACAAGATGATTCAAAATTTATGTTGTTGTTCAGTCACTCAGTCACATCTGACTCTTTGCAACCCCATGGACTGCAGCACGCCAGGCTTCCCTGTCCATCACCAACTCCCAGAGGTTACCCAAACTCATGTCCATTGAGTCAGTGATGCCATCCAACCATCTCATCTTCTGTTGTCCCCTTCTCCTCCTGCCTTCAGTCTTTCCCAGCATCAGGGTCTTTTCTAGTGAGTCAGCTCTTCACATCAGGTGGCAAAATATTGGAGCTCAGCTCAAAAATGTATACAAAATACAAAAACCAAGAATGACCAAGGCAGTTAGCAAGAACAACAACAACATAACTTCTTTAAATTAAAGTTACCCAGATTTACTATGTGTGCTCACTCAGTCATTTCCGATTCTTTGTGACCCAGTGGACTATAGCCCGCCAAGCTCCTCTCTCCATGGGGACTCTTCAGGCAAGAATACTGGAGTCGGTTGCCATACCCTTTTCCAGGGGATCTTCCCAACCCAGGGATCAAACCCAGGTCTCCCGCCTTACAGACAGATTCTTTACCATCTGAGCCACTAGGGAAGGTTCAAGATTTACTATAAAGTTACAGTAATTAAGAAAACGTGGGGGGGAAAAAGAAAACATGGGACAGGTGCAAGGATAGACAAATGACACAGTGGAACAGAATGGAGAGTCTAAAAGAAGTACTCAGACATATGTGCCCTTTCATTCATCACAAAGGTGGCACTGCAGTAGGGAACAGTCTTTCCAGAAAAAGATTTTGAGTCAACTGGATGCCCAAATGAAAGCATGACACTTGACCCTTATCCTACACAGTTATCAATCCTAGAAGCAGTGTATAATTATATGCAAAAGAAAAGTAATTACACTTCTGTGAGATACTCTCAGAGAACATTTTTGTGATTTTAGAGTAGACAAAGTTCTTTTTAGAAGGATATAAGGAGCTCTGTGGACTGCAACAATGGACTGGTTCAAACTGAGACAGAAGTACATCCAGGTTGTATACTGTCACTCTGCTCATTTAACTTCTATGCAGAGTACGTCACGCGAAATGACGGGATGGATACAGCACAAGCTGGAGTCAAGATTGCTGGGAGAATTATCAATAACCTCAGATATGCAGATGACACCACCCTTATGGTAGAAAGCGAAGAGGAATTAAAGAGCCTCTTGATGAAAGTGAAAGAGGTGAGTGAAAATGTTGGCTTAAAACTCAACATTCAGAAAATGAAGATCATGGCATCTGGTCCCATCACTTCATGGCAAATAGATGGGGAAACAATGAAAACAGTGACAGATTTTATTTTCTTGGACTCCAAAATCACTGCAAATGGTGAGTGCAGCCATGAAATTAAAAGATGCTTGCTTCTTGGAAGAAAAGCTATGACAAACCTAGATAGCATATTAAAAAGCAGAGATGTTACTTTGCCAACAAAGTTCCAACAAAGCTATAGTTTTTCCAGTAGTTATATATGGATGTGAGAGTTGGACCATAAAGAAAGTTGAGCGCTGAAGAATTGATGCTTGTGAACTGTGGTGTTGGAGAAGACTCTTGAGAGTCCCTTGAACTTCAAGGATATTAAACCAGTCAGTCCTAAAGGAAATCAGTCCTGAATATTCATTGGAAGGTCTGATGCTGAAATTGAAGCTCTAATACTTTGGCCACATGATGGGAAGAACTGACTCATTGGAAAAGACCCTGATGCTGAAAAACATTGAAGGCAGAAGGAGAAGGAGATGACAGAAGATGAGATGATTCGGTGGTATCCCCAACTCAATGGATATGAGCTTGAGCAAGCTGCGGGAGATAATGAAGGACAGGGAAGCCTGATGTGCTGCAGTCCATGGGGTGGCAAAGAGTCAGACATGACTGAGCAATTGAACTGAACTGACTGACTGAAGGAGCACTACATGTACAATAAAAAAGGTGATAAGTCAAACTTAAGATTAGTAACTTGGCTCACTGAAGTACAGCATACCATTAAGAAAATAAAAATATAAGACAGAATCAAACACACAAAAAACATGATAAATATTTGTTCCAAAAGTCATCATCATGGTAATTTGCACCATTGTATTTGTAATAGTCAAAACCTGGTGACAAACTCAAATCTCTGCCATTAGTTGAATGGATCAACGCATGGTCATGTGTTCATTCAAAGGAATACTCTATCATAATAAAAATGAATACAATGTTGCCATAAACAACATCATGAGTGAATTTCAAACACAGTTTGAAATCAAAGAAATTAGACACGAAAGAAAACATTCTGTATGGTTATACATAAAGTTCAAAAACTGACAGATTATTCTACGGCAGTACAAGTCTTAGGTAAGCAGTCTTCCCTGGAGAGGAGGAGGACACAGTTGTTGGGAGGCAATAGTGATTCTGTGATGCTGTGAATGCTCTCTTTGTAGATCTGGGTTGGGGAACATGACCTAGGTATACACTTACTGTTTGTACTTTGTTCTCTATTATTATCCTTAAATATAATAATGTTTCATAAAAATATTATTCATCTAAGCATTTCTTTCCCTGACATAGCACTTCTTAGCATTTCTTAGCACTTCTTTCCCTTGAAAAAAATGAGTGAACAATGAGAAGGTTATGGAGCAGGACCTACGAAGCCTTCTCAGGACAGACCACCCTCATGTCCTCCACTTGCTTCTGTCTGTAGAAAATCCTTAGCCAAAGAATCAATTTAATCACAGAAATGAAAAAATTTCGGAAACAAAGGAAAACCGTCGAATAGGATAAAATAATAATAGTTTAACCCTAAACAAAGTCAAGGATTTTTAGTTCCTCCTCATGGGCTATAGCTAACATTCTGAGCCATATGCTTTGAGCTGTTGTGCAGATACTGAAATCCCAACCAGGTGGTAGAAGTAAATTACATGATGACCAGACTAGTGGGGTGCCATTTCCTTCTCCAGAGGATCTTCCCAACCCAGGGATCAAACCTGAGTCTCTTGCATTGCAAGCAGATTCTTTACCATCTGAGTCAACAGGGAAGCCCATAATCTTCTTCATCTTGCACAATTCCAAGACCGGCCTCAAGGAAATGGGAACAGACCGACACTAGAACTGATGATTAACTGTATTCCAAACAATAAAGGTGACACTTATCAGATCTATTTCAAGATGACTGTCGGAGCTAGCTGGGCTATTCTGCAGGTAATCTGTCCCCTACCTCCACCTGTGCACTCCTGAAATTTCCATTTAAAAACTCTTGCCTCTGATCAGCAAGGGGGAGCTGCTTCTTTGTTACATTAGTCCTCTGTCTCCCAGAACTGCTGGTTTCCTCAATAAAGCTGTCTTTAATTTTACCCCACATTTGTCTCTTAGATTCTTGAGTAATGAGCAGCTGAAACCTGAGTTCAGTAACAAGAATAAACATTTCACTACAGAATATCTTCCTTCTCAAGCCTGTTTTCCCTTAGTCTCTGCTCTGGGGACATTTCACCCCAGGAGCATCCTAAGTACAGTAGCCCTTCCCTGTCTTACCTGAGCAGATCACAGAGGCTGTGTTGCCATGGGAACAGTCAGGAACACCCAGGGCAGTCACAGGGCATTGCCACAGGAAGGACTCAGTCCCTGAGCAGTGGAATCGGGCTTTCCAGAGTTGATCACTTCCTTCTGCTCCATTTGGGGTGGAGATGGCGATGCCACAGCTGAGCTGACGACAGACAACATTGGCATTGGCCAGACTCCAGTGGGAGGCACAGAGAGCTCTCCATTGTCCAGAAATATTCATCTCCACCCTCCCCTCACACTGAGAGGTACCATTTTTCATAAGCTGGACTTCTGTGTACACTGATAGAAAAAGACAGGATTTCAGCAAAATCTGATTTCTTTTTTAGCTTGAACTGAGTGTACATAAAGGATAAGTCCTGACGTGCATCTCACCTGAACAGACAACCTGAGCAGCTCCACTATGGTGGCACACGCCCCCTGGACAGGGCACTCTGGGGCAGGACCAGAGCTTAGGCTCCTCCCCCTGACACCTGAACTCTTCAGCCCAGACCCGGCCATCAGATTCTCTGATGGGCTCGTGTCCCAGGACAGACACAGCCTTGCCACACCCCAGCTCTGCACAGATGACCTGGGCAGTGGGGAGTGTGAAGTTCCCATCAGACACTGGGGTCCAGGCTTCTCCAGAATACACTTCTACTCTCCCTGAGCAGGGTCCATCCCCTCCAGCCAGATGCACAAATCCTAAGAGAAACAAAGAACAACAAACCCAGTGAGTGTTCATGAACCTGGCTTGACAATTCAAAACATCATCTCACAAGCAATGGTGTGAAAGCATTTTTTACAGCTGTGGAATAAGAGGGGATAAGAACAGAGAATTTGCCTGTCATTGTCAAACTGCATTTTCATGAGCAAGTTTCTGAAGAGATATCCAGAAGGATTGAAGGATCAGTTTGGAATGGCTGAATCCCAAGAATATATATTTTGGTTAGGAATGTTAATTCCTATCTGGGGGCCTGGAAACTACAGTGCCCAAAGAAACTGCACAGTAGTAGACATTCAAATTTAGAAACAGAGCTGAACAGAGAGTTAAAAAGGTCAATGGGATTCAAGAGGTTAGAGGCCTAAGAGCCAGAGAAGTTTAGAAGTTTAGAGGACCATCTTGAGATTTCTGAGGCTAAAATTCTAGCCAGTTTTCTCTCAGAGCCAATATTCAAGTCACTGAGGACAGGGAAAATCACGTGGGCTGGATCTGAGTGCAGGCATTATAATCTAATTGTGAAAGAAGTTGTCCACAGGTAAGTTTAAAAGTGACAAAAGCTCAGAGAGTCTTAGGAAAGGGAGGGAATGGTCAGAGCCATCTTTCTTAAAAACCTAGGATTTATCAAGACGCCTGGGAGAAAGTGAGGTCTCAGTGGGATTATGCAAGACAATTTAGTTAGCTGATTACTTCATACTAGACATGAGATTCTCAGCAAATGTGAAAGAGTATTGCTAATTTAATGTATTCTAACCTTAGCTAACTGCATATGCTTTTCCTATTTGGATTTCTGAGATAAGAAGCCAGCAAGCTACAAAAAAGGAGAATGAGAGGAAGAGAGCAGACAGAAAACAAGCCATATACACTTTAGAGATTTCTAAATTGCAAAAGCTTCAATAGGAATGAAACATAGAAAGATTTGGGGGAAAAAAGACTTGTTCAACAAGATTTTAACACTTTTTAATCCCCTGTGCTCCTCCCATTTGCCACATAACCCTGCTACCCTTTCCCATTTCTCCCAATGCAGAAAAGAAAAAACAAGCTTAAGAGCTACAAATAGATGGAAAGGAGACTCCAAAAGGAAAGAACTTCTATAGGGAGTGAGGTGGAGTGAGTGGTAGGTTAAACAGGGAGTGGATGGAGTATGAGAGAGAGACCAAAGAAAAGACTGATGAAAATGTTTCATCCTTCAGAGACCATATTTTGGATGGAGAAAAGGTAATCCAATAGGAAAAAACCTGCACATCATAAAGAACAACTTTTAAAATAATTTTCCTGGTTTCTGAGTGTGCTCATGATTATTCATGTACATGGTGGAATTTGTTCTGGTGAAGGACTCTGATTGCATAAGTTTGTGAACTTTGAAGTCTCAAAAAGAATGATGTAACAGAATAAAAATCTACTATAGAAAGTAAAAGGAATCCAGATAGGAAAAGAAGAAGTGAAACTCTCTCTGTTTGCAGATGACATGATCCTCTACATAGAAAACCCTAAAGACTCTACCAGAAAATTACTAGAGCTAATCAACGAATACAGTCAAGTTGCAGGATATAAAATTAACACACAGAAATCTCTTGCATTCCTATACACTAAC